ACAGAGAGGAGTGAGGGGAGGGGAGAGTGGAAGGTGTGGGTCAGTGACCTTAGCTCACCCATCCCACCCCACCCAGGATGAGTACAGGCCTGACAAAGCTCTATCGGAGGGTGACCTGAAGAACGCCATTCGCGTGCATCACGCTCTGGCCACCAGGGCCTCTGACTACAGCAAGAAGTCCAACGTGCTCAAGCTTAAGACGGCTGACTGGAGGGTATTCCTTTTCCAGGCACCGTGAGTAGGAGCTGGAGCCCCTCACTCCCACCTGCGGCCTAGGGCCGCAGTGACGCAGCATACAACCCCTCTCCTTCCCATGAGTCAGCAACAGAGCATGTGTATCCACATGACCCAGACCGACAGCTGGGTCCTCCCAAAGCAGCGGTTCTCAATGTGTGGTTCCCCTCAGCATCACTTGCAGTCTCTCTGGCCCTGCCGTAGACCTACTGAACCCGAAACTCTGGGATGGCTCCAGCAACTGTGTTTAACAGCCCTGCAGGGGCTGCTGAGTGCGCTGGAGTCTGAAATGTGGGGCAGGTGGCATCTTTATGAATCATCCTTCGCTTTAAATGTGGGAAAGATGCACCCTCCAGGTAACCTGTAAGGCTGTCCTTCTACCACCTCTTGCCTTCCTATGACTTGAGACTGGAGTGCACATGAGCTTGCAAGGAGGCAGGCTGGTGGATGAGGCCTCAGGATCACAGTGCCAGTGCTGGGCAGGCAGCAGGGGAGGGCAGGAGGACTGTGAGGGTCGCCCAGTTGCCATTGCCTCTGATGATCCCCAGTCCACTGTCATTCCCACCCATTCACTCCAGGGCCACTAGCTGTGAACCTGGGAAGTTTGATTTTCACATGAGAATCCCAGTGTGCCTGGGAGCTGGGATAGAAAGGGAGCTCCCTGCATAGCTCTGGCCAGGCCCATCCAGCCCCCATGCGTCCTTCCTCTCCCCTTTACCCACTCATCTAGAGGTACTGGTGCCTTCTTAGTGACAGGCCCAGTGCTGGGTATGTGATGCTGAGTAGGGGACAGGGAGTCCTGTGTGAGAGGCCAGCACTCTCTCCCCATCCTGTCCCCAGGAGCAAGGAAGAAATGCTGTCCTGGATCCTCAGGATCAACCTGGTGGCAGCCATCTTCTCTGCCCCGGCCTTCCCAGCCGCTGTCAGCTCCATGAAGAAGTTCTGTCGGCCCCTGCTGCCCTCCTGCACCACCCGCCTCTGCCAGGTACATGCTCCTGGGTCAAGATTTTGCCTCCCTAGGCTGCCATCCTCAGCCCAGGCCCCCATCCAGCAGCCCCACCCCAGCTCTGTCTCTAGGCTGGGTGATCCTGGGCTGAAGGACACCAGAGAAGGACACTTCTTCTCTCCATCCCATGCACCCCACCCCCACGTCCAGATGGGGAGACCAAGGAACGTCATACAGGGGCTGTGGCTGTGGCAGTTGGCATGGAGCTGCCTCTCTGCTAGTGCATCCCTGTGGATGTGACTGAGAGTTGGTGGTCTTGTGTGCACCTGGGCACAAATGCAAGAGACTGTGTCACAGGGAGCTCACACAGGTGACACCTGGCTGACTCTTCATTCAGTGCTCTTTTGCTGCCCTCACCTATCCTTAAATGTTTTATTTGTAATCCTAGAAAACCCAGCTCACCCATGCTGCGGGCTCTCAGGGCTTCTTTGGAGAGGACAGGAGAAATGGTGGCCCAGAGCTTGAGAGGTAGAGGGCAGCGGAAGCCCCACACTTCCTGTTTGCCAGTGGTCTTTCCCACTAGGCCTTGTCCTGGGTCTCCCCACTGAGCTCCTGGGCTCCTGCTTCTGCCCAGAACCCCTGTGCAATGCACGTACACCATGTACGTGCACACACCACACACATTCACGTGTGTAAACACACAGGTGGTGACTCATACACATGTACGCGTGAGCACACAGCACCAGGGGGCCTGGCTGTCCTGTAGTGGGTGGGATGTGTGTGCGCTTGCCCATCAGTGACAGTGTCTCCGCCTGTCACTCCACTAGGTGTGATCCTGGGTCTGTGACCATTGCGTGTGTCTGGGCATGAATGTAAGAGAACGCGTGTATCATAAGGAGCAGGGGATAGCTGGGCCAGGCTGGCCTTGGTCTGGGGTGTTTGTGTGTGCGCATGGGAGTGCATGTGAGCTGGGTTGTGTGTGTGGGTCATTGTGTGTCTGTGTCAGGGACTGTCTATGTCCACATATAAGCGTGAGCATCTCTTGTCTCCCGAGCTAGGGGGCATCAAGGAAAGCTGATGCTGATGGGAGCAGCGAGAGGAGGAAGGGAGGTGGGAGAAGGAGCATGCCCTCGGGTCCAGAGCCTGGCTCTATCACCACAGTTTGGTGACCCTGGCTAGGCCTTCATTTGCCTCTGGTGGAGCAGCTCCTGGTAGAACAGGATTTGAGCCACTCCGTGACATCCTGAGAGTAAGGCCTCACAGTCCACGATTTGCCTTCCCAGGAGGAGCAACTGCGGTCTCATGAGAATAAGTTGAGACAGCTGACTGCGGAGCTGGCTGAACACAGGTGTCACCCAGTCGAGAGGGGCATCAAGTCCAAGGAGGCCGAGGAGTACCGGTTGAAGGAGCACTATCTCACCTTCGAGGTGAGCCTTGAGGGGCTGGATTGCAAAGCCCAGCACCCTGCTCTTTCTCCTTCCTGTCTGGCCTGATGTGAGACTGGGGAGGTGAAGCCTACTGATAAAGGGGCTTGCTCACGTGGCAGCTGGCAGGGAACAGGGTCCCCGACCCTTAGTCCCCAGTCCTTCCAGGGTGCCAGCCTTCCCTGACAGGGGTGAGGGGCTGAAGCTCAGACGAAGGCCCTCAGATGCTGCCAAACCTTCCTCTTAAATGTTTGCCCTGATTTCTAACCCCTTTAATAATTTGTGAATGTACTTATTTCTCCATGCTCTCACCAGCACTGGGCATTGCAAAACGTTTTAATCTTTACTAACCTGATAGGTTTAACAATTAGTATCTCATTACTTTTTTTTTTTTTTGAGATAGAATCTCACTCTGTCGTCCAGGCTGGAGTACGGTGGCATGATCTTGTCTCACTACAAACTCTGCCTCCCAGGTTCAAGCAGTTCTCCTGCCTCAGCCTCCTGAACAGTTGGGATTACAGGCACGTGCCACCATGCCTGGCTAATTTTTGTATTTTTAGTAGATATGGGGTTTCACCATGTTGGCCAGGCTGGTCTCGAACTCCTGACTTCAGGTGATCCACTCGCCTTGGCCTCCCAAACTGCTGGGATTACAGGTGTGAGCCACCACACCCAGCCTCATTACTATTTTAATTTGGATTTAAAAACATTTTAATTGCAGTAAGACATGTAATATAAAATTTACCATCTTCATGTGTATAGCTAGCCGTGTTAAGTCTATTCACATTGTTGTATAACCAGTCTCCAGAATTTTTTCCTCTTCCCAAACTGAAACTCTGTACACATTAAATAATAACTTTCTACTCTCCCCTCCCTTCAGTCCCTGGCAATCACCATTCTACTCTCTGCCTCTATGATTTTGATTACTCTAAGTGGAATCATACACAATTTGTCTTTTTGTGATTGAATTATTTTACTTAGCATAATGTCCTTAAGGTTCATCCATGTTGTAGTGTGTGTCAGAATTTCCTTTCTTTTTAACCTATTTATGTTGGAGGTCAAATTTTTTTTTGATGAAAAATCAGACTTTGGAGATGACCTTGAGCAGTATGATATAAATAACTCCCATGAGTTATTTCCAGTAACTCCAACGTTCCAATAATGGAACACTAGGCATAAATAGGATGAGGCTGAATAATATTCCATTGTATGTATACACCATATTTTGTTTACCCGTTTATCCATCAGTGAACACTTGGCTTACTTCCATCTTTTGGCTATTGTGAAAAATGCTGCTATGAAAATGGGTATACAAATATCCCTTCAAGACCCTGCTTTCAACTCATTTGGGTTTATAGTTAGAAATGGTCTTGCTGGATCATGTGGCAATTTTATTTTTAACTTTTTGATAAACCACCAGCTTTCCATAATAGCTGCTCCATTTACATTCTCACCAGCAGAGCACAAGGGTTCTGTCTATTTCTCCATAACCTCACCAACATGTATTTTCTGCTCTTTTGATAGTAGTAAGAGTGTGAATTGATATCTCACTGTGGTTTTGACTTGCATTTCTCTAATGACTAATGATGTTGAGCACCTTTTCGTGTGCTTGTTGGCCATTTGTATGCTTTCTTTGGAGAAATGTAGATTCAAGCCCATTTAAAAAATTTGGATTGTCTTCTGTTGTTGCATTCTGAGAGTTCTTTATATATTCTGGATACAAAACCCTTATCAGATATATGACTTGCAAATATTTTTCTCCCATTCTGTAGGTTGCCTTTTCATTCTGTTGACTGTATCCTCTCATGTACAGAAGTTTTAAATTTTGGTGTAGTCCCATTTGTGTATTTTTACTTTTGTTGATTGGGTTTTTGGTGTCATATCCAAGAAATCATTGCCAATTATTTGGATTTTTCAAATTATGAATGAAGTTTATGTGCATGTCCCATGTTTGTTTTTTAATTGGACTGTTCATCTTCTTTTTAACGATTTGTGAAAGCTCTCTGCATATTGAGGAAATCAGTCTTTTGTCATACAAGGTGCACATACTTTTCTCCTCTTTTGTTGTCTTTTGACCTTGTGTTTGGCCTTTCCCCAGAAAAGCCGTTATGAGACCTATATCCACCTCCTGGCTGTGAAAATCAAAGTGGGCTCAGATGATCTGGAGCGGATTGAGGCCCGGCTGGCCACTCTGGAAGGGGATGACCCTTCTCTCCGGAAGACACACTCAAGTCCTGCCCTCAGCCAGGGCCATGTGACTGGCAGCAAAACCACAAAGGATGCCACTGGGCCTGATACTTAGCTGACATGGATGTGCAGACCCCAGGATGGGCAGATGTCCCCAGTGGGGTCGGTGAGCACAATTCCAGCCAGGGGCCACTCGGACCAAGCTCCAGTCAGTTGATGGGCAGCCAGAGGGGTGCAGAAAACCTGTGGGCCCAAGAGATGGAGATGCCGTTTGTGGCGTTGATCTCCTTGCGTCCTTGGGCATCTCTGGGCATCAGACCCTCTCCCCGGCCTTTGTTTTCCTCTCCACCATGGAGCCTCATTTTGTAGGCCAGTTGTGTGCATGCTCTAGACACCACCTCGCTGGAGAAGCTGGAAGGGCTGTTGTCTTCCCAGGTCTTTCTCTTCTCATCAAGCTCCTCTCATCTTCTTGTGTGTGAGGGCAGGTCGTGACTCCAGGTCTCAGCTGGAACCCCACCCTTTCTCCTCTTCCTTCCTCTGAGTTGACCAGCAGCAGGTCTGCAGACCACCAGCACCATCCTCTCCTCCCTCCTCCCAGCAGCCTCCAGAACCATGCCCAGGTCTCCTGCCTCACATCACAATAATCTGGGACCCAGGCTTGTGCCCTTTCAGTGTCAAGTTGACTCCACTCACATGTACGTCCACCTCTTTTCATCCATTGAGATCACACTGTCTCCTTTTTATACAGACACAAATATACATCTATAAGAATAATGTATACATAAGGAAACCCTGAAAGATGGTTTTGGAACTGAAATCAGTTAGAGGATGAAATCAGATAAAGGAAAAGCCTATTTTGGAGCTTCCCCTGTTAGGAAGGATGGCTGCACCTGGCCCCCTGGCATTCCTGACGCCCTAGGAGGGAAGGGGGAGGCAATGCTGGTCTCCCTTGCCCTGTTTTTCCCTCTTCCAGCTGACCTGTGACTTACACTGCTCTTACAGTTGATACTTTTGGAAAAAATAGAACGTGTATGCACCGCCCCATTTGTCCCATGGATATCCTGGGGTGTGAGTGGGATGGGACCACAGCCCTGTTTATATTTGGGTCTTTATGTTGGTGCTGCCAGGTCTCTGAGCTCCAGAGGTGGCCTCTTGGACAGATCTACTGCTATAGGAATAAAAGACACTCTGCCTCACAAATGGCCACTTGTCAACAAGCCCAAAGATGCTTGTCGGAGGACGGTTATGGAAGCCATTAATTCTTGGTCGTGGGAAAAGGTGGAATGACAAGTTACTGATTGTTTTTCTGTCGCTATTTCTTTCATTTGTCTAGTGAATCAGAAAGGCTTAGCCAAGGCCGCATCTGGGAAGAGTGGAGAAATTTGCCACTTGACGATCACGGATTAGCTAGCACCTTTAAGCCCTGCATTTTTCCAACTGACAAGTGGGTGGGGGTGATGGCACATTCAGTGAGGCTATGAAGAGCGAATCCTCTCTATTATTTAAATAGATTACTGTAGTTTGGCCAGCAATTTGGCGTCAGTGGTAACATACTTAGTTAATAAAATAAGCCAGGCTTGCAACTAAGTATCTAACTTTACAGGCCCACTCACATTTGAGGCAAGGGACTTTTGATTATGTGGAGAGATGTAGTGATTTAAATTCTGATTATTTAAGTTGGATCAGCTGAAGTGTGTTTTAGAACCAAACCATCTGGCCCCTTCGTTTTGCTCAGAGGAAGTAAATGTTCACTTAAATGAAATTGAAAACGCAATGTGGCACTACAAAAGAGCTCTCTGTACTTTCTCCACGCTGCCTCAGAAGTCCTGTGATTTTCGGGGTCAGTGTCCCACCCTTCACTTCCCGAGGGTGGGTGAGTGGATAGCAGAGCCGGGAGCTCTGGCAGCTGTGGACAGATGTGCTTCCTGAGCACGGGTTGTGCCTCCCATCAGTAAAAAAATGTTTAGTTCACTTCCTTAATTGTATAATTATTTATTTGTAAATTATATACATGTACTACTGTACTAAAATATCATGTACATTATAAAACATACACAAAAATAGAAATTTAAAAAAGATGAGATGAAAATAAATCTAAGTCAAAGTTCTAATATTTCTTCCTGCATTCGAATGGATCCTCACCCCACACAACTGCTGTCTCCAACATGCCCATTTTCTAGGACTGTCCAAATCCAGGACTGGTGACATACAATAAGTGGTTTGCGCCACCTGTGGTCCTGGGAAGTGGCCTCGGGCTTAGGGACTTCTGGGGGCTGTCCCTTGAGGACGGTGTCTCTTGCGCCTTCATCCTCTCATTCAACGAGGGCCAACTGTGTGCTGCACGCTGGGCAGGGTGATGGGAATATGGTGGTGGGAGGAACTTTGACTGCCAGTCGTCATGGGGCTCACAGTTTCGTGGGGAGAACAGGCAGTTAGCATTACCACTTGGGTCTCTGGGAGGGGCTGGAAAGAGAAGCCAAAAAATGACCTGGAAGAGAAAGAAAGAACTGGGAAAGTGGGGACGAAGCCTCTGACTTGGGAAGCTGCCTGAATGTTGTCCTATATGTTCCAGTGCGGTGGTAGGGAAGTAGCTTGACAGGACTGCGACTCGTCCTGAAAGGCCACTGGGAAGGCTCCCCAAGGCAGAGGTTTGAGAGGCAGAGTGGAGAAGGGGCCTCTCTGGCCACATGTGTTCCTGGGTCCTAATCATACCTGTGAAATGAATGGGTGGATGACAGGTGAGGAAAGAACTCTGTTAGGTTCTGGCCTTGGACTCTCGGCACGTATGGCAGGTACTGTAGGATTCAGAGCATATAATGAAGGTACCTGATGCTCATGCAAAGGTTGGTGAGTTCACCAAGAGGTCATTCAGAATCAACTGAGGGCCACATAGAGATTGGTGTTCTCATTGGGTAGCTTCTGACTCTAAAATTTAGAAGGCAACAGCAACCTAGAGCCCTCGGAAAGGTCACATGAGGACAATAAGCTGGATCAGACAAAGGTCAGTGGGTTCCCCAAGAGATCATATGGAGTTAATTTGGGATCCTACAGAAACCACAGGTCACATAGAAGAATAACTGGCTCTCAGAGAATTTTAAAGCCAACCACAAACCCAGAGACAGCAGCGGGGCCTGGATGAGATCAACAGAAGGGGGCCGGGAAGGGCCAGTGAGTTGCAGGTTTATGCAGGATTGAGTTCATTATTTTCCTTTTTAAAATTTTTTGTAGCAGGTACTTTTTCCCAGCGTCCCCATAATGAATACAATAACTTCAGTTTGTTCTTTATTTTTCTCCATCGCCTCCCTCTCGTCTAGTTTCTGTCACTCTGGCTGTGTGATACAAGGATGCAAGGCACAGGAGATTGTCATCACCACCATCAAATCAGCCATGTAATAGACATCTATCACGTGCCAGCATCAGCACCGTACTTTATAATCTCCACAGCAACCTTTTGGAATAGGTATTTGCATCACCCATTTCCCAGCAAGGAAACTGGCCTAGAGACGTCACATGGCTAGGAGGCGCAGAGCTGGAATTTGAACTTATGCCCTGTTGATGCCGAAGCCCTCTCAACCCGCAGCCTCTCTGTCCCTCCCACCTGTAGGTCTCTAACTACACACATCCTAGGGGGATTCACACCCACCCACACCCACACAAACACACAGGCGTAGGCAAGGGTGCATGCCAACCACCTCGGCTGTTTGGGTGGAAGACGTCCGTGTGTCTGACTAGAACCGAATAGTTTCCAGTGCCGGACACTGGTTTACTAAATCAGTTGATGAGGGGAAAGGCTTTTCAACCCTGGGCCTCCATCTGCCTTCTCCATGCTGAAATCATGTACTTTCCCTCAGGGCTGCGGGTTTAGACAGGCCTGGCTCCGAGGGGGTATAAAGTTGGGGAAAGAGCAACACCCTGTGGGCTTATGAGCTGCAGCAGCTGTGGTCCTCCTGGCAGCTGAGGGTACCTGTCAAGCCACTTTGCATGTCCGGACTTTGCCTGTGACATGCCTCAGGGTCCAGGGGTCACCCTGCCTCGGCTGTGCTAGTACCAACCCCACAACCCATCCCTCCTCACCCACCTAGGCCGGCAACTGTTGTCTCAGTCCAGCCCATAGATCCGGGGCAGGAACTGGGCCAGAGTTCCAACGCTGAGTTTGAAGCAGAGCAATTTGTGTCAGTCCCTTGGCCAGGTTCCCCAGCAGCTGGGGGGACACCTTGTAAATATTCTTGGGAGTGGGAGGAGGGTTGGAGTCTGTCCTGGGAGCTGGGGCCGGAGAGACTGGAGAGAGGGTCACTTCCTTCCAGGGACTGCCCTGGCCCCCTCCAACCTCCAGGCCAGCATCATCCACATCCACCATGGGACTTTGTGCTCTGACTTCCCTCCTCATCTGGGGCTAGGCACACACAGTCAAACAGGAGTTATTTCTGATTTTATTTATAATATAAAAATGTTCAAGTGTCGACAGTCAGGTGTTCAGACATTTCAGGACAGGATTCCCATTTGTTTCTGTTTGGGATTTTTTTTTTTTAAACAATTACCTTTTTGACAAATTAGCAGTGGATCCAGTTTTTGGGGGTGGGAGGGCAGGACTGGAGACGAGTGGAAGTCACAGGTGGGTTGGGGGCTGGGAGGCAGCCTGTGAGAAGGAAATGGTGTTACTTTATTGCTAAAAGGGGAATACACTGTCGAGTGGCTCTTCTCGGTCCCAGCGTGACCATGCATCCAATCTAAAGAATCTGAAATGCAAAGGACATGCAGGTGTAAAATAGAAAAGACGACCTGTAAACAAAGGTGCTGCAGAGGACGGAGGGGCGTCCTGGAGGCTGTGGGGGACAGGAGCCGCCAACATTGGGCCCCTGGCAGAGCTGCCACCTCCCTGGGCCCAGGCTCTTGGGGAGACCTTTCTCTGCCCTCCTCCTCTAACAGCTGTGAGTAGCCAGGGCTTCCCCATTCCGGTAGCTGTGTCTTTATCTCCCCCTGGAAGTTACCCCAGCTCCAGCTCCAAGCCTAGGGTCCTGGCCCTCTCCTCCCAGGCGTCGGGAACTCCAGCTCTTGCCTGGGAGCAAAGCTACTTCTATCCTCAGTTCTTCCTCAGGGCCAACCCCTCATGGCCCCCCACCCTCGCCCCCACCAGAACCCCGCAGCCTCTTCTTTCCCTGCTGTCACTCCCAGCACCCCGCAACCAAGACCTCTCCCCCGGAGCCCCAGATGAGCGTACAGCAAAAGGCACCACAAAATAGGTTTCTATTAAAGAGTCAAAAAATTGGCCCATCTCTCTTTTTTTTTTGTTGTTGTTTCTTTTTTTTTCCGAAGCTGTAAATCAGGATGTTACATATAAATAGTTTCCCTATAAAAACGTCTTTGCCGTTAGCTAGTATTATAAGACAATTTTTGCTAAAATGAAAATAAAACATTTTGTTATACTTTTTTCCTTTTATAGAAAATAAAAATATTTTTATTTATTTTTTCCTCCTTTCTCTCCAGTAGGCGGTCTCTGGTCTCCTTAAAGACAGTGGGGCGGGCGAGGCGGAGTTGCGCGCGGCGGGGCCCTAGAGTGGCGCCGAGTCCTGCTTGGCC